TGGTTTATCTATCTGTATTGTACATTGGATGGTTAGACCACCATTGGTACTGTTATAGTAGGCTGTAGAAAGTACATCATCTGTGTAACATGGAACCTATTATGGTTTATCTATCTGTATTGTACATTGGATGGTTAGACCACCATTGGTACTGTTATAGTAGGCTGTAGAAAGTACATCAACTGCTGTGTAAATAACATTGACTCACTGTTTTATTCTGATAGTATTTTACATTTGATGGTTAGGCTACCATCAGTACTATTACAGTAGGCTGTAGAAAGAGCTTCGGTCGTCTTTATCATCTCAGACCATCCCCAGCTCCCTGGCAATTTTAATACATGAGTTGCTTGCTGGGAGACATCATCAGTTTCAGGTTCTATGCTTTTCACTGACAACCTTTTGTAAAGCAAATTCATAATTTCAATAAAGGGGTATATAGGAAATCTCGATCATACTTCCAGCTTACCTGCATATAACAGTTGCTGTATTTTTAACATGGGGTATCTTGTTAATGATTTTGCGAGACTTTGGATATTCTTCACTGAATTCGAGATACAGCGACAGCCATCCCTCAGCCTCTTCATCTATCCCATTGGGATAGACTAGGAAATTAAGTCTGTGCCCACGCAGCCAGAAAATAGGGCTTGTGAAGGCAGATCCATTGATGTGTTTTGTACATAGGGTAGGAAAGTCGTTTATTGTCCACTCGTAGCTGCCGCAGCTTAAGAAGGTACTAAACATTTGATCTGATATGTTTTCCTGTATAGAGAATAGCATAAATCTTAATCAGTCATATGAAATGATAATGGCAACCTACAATAATTGTAAAAGAATTAACCTCAGTTCTACATCATTTGCAATACACCACTGTACCGATGGCAGTCGACATCTTGAATTTTGAACTTGAGTCGTCAGGCAGAGAGAAAATAGCCACAATATTATCCCTTGTTTTTATATATATGCCGCTCGAGGTCAGCTTCGTTTTTAAGCAAAATTACCGATGGCTATCCGTAAAATCATGTGGTGTATTGTTAAAAGATGACCAGCACCTTAGTTTTTGAAATTAATATTAACGAAAAATATAAGCGACATAAAGTCGTGTAGTATAGATGTGTAGTATAGATGTAGTATAGATGTAGTATAGATGTAGTATAGATGTAGTATAGATGTAGTATAGATGTAGTATAGATGTAGTATAGATGTAGTA